TTTATCTATCAAGCCTAAAAGAAAAATCTCTGGTTTCAGTTGTGGATTCCAGTATTGCTCTGCCTTTTTACATTTCTACCAAAGATGATAAAAATGTACCTTCGGGCTGATTATATTTCCAACATATGTTTGACACATCCTTGTGCATCCTGACAGTTTATCAGATGTTAAACACCATCGGCAAGGGCAGTGCATATCTTTGAAAAAAGCACGAGAAGTAGAATTTCTATTAGGAAAATGGCACTTTTTTTCCTTTTTTGCACCAAGTATAAAATGGCTGCTGCTGAAATACTTGTTTTTGGCAGGTCCCACGGAAGTTAAAGCAGATGAACATCCTCGCCATGGGTGCAACATAGAAACAGTGGCAAAGTTGAAACCTTGCTTTATAACCGATGGGACAGGAACTGTGACTGCAGCAAATGCCTCAGGTTGGTTTGTTGAGCAATGTAAAGATAAGCCATAAAATCATTTGTTCCGGTTTTAGCAATCAGGAAGGAAGGAAGGAAGGAAGGAAGGAAGGAAGGATCATTAACTATAACTGGAAAGGTTTTGATGCTGGTATTGCCTACATACCCTCCTATTAAATATGAACTTTCCACTTTTTAAAAAGCTATATACTGTATCTAACCGAAAAATGTTTCAGAGATAAGCAATGTTAGCTTAAAGGAGTAGATATTTTCCGGGAAAATTTTCTTTTCCTCTCATGCCTCATCCTGGCCAAATCTAAAAGTTTCCACTGGAAATTACTGCTTTATGATGGAAATATCCATGAAGATAAAGCTGGGCAAAACTGATATATCTGGAGGTATCAAGCTTTGTTAGATACTTTAAAGCTAGGTTTAGTTGTTTTTCTCTTCAGGTATAAACGATGGTGCTGCTGCTGTAATTCTTATGAAAAAATCAGAAGCGGTTAAACGAAATCTCACTCCTTTGGCATGGATCGTGTCTTCGGCTCAAGTTGGTGTTGATCCTTCAGTTATGGGAATAGCACCCATCACGGCCATAAGAAAAGCTGTAAGTAGGGAAGAGGGTCCATTCCACTGAATTAGTGTTAATTCTGAAAATTAAACTGTTTTTTTAAGCCTAGTATATTCATATCATAATATGTATAACCTGTCCCAATCCTAATGAATTATGGTAGCTTTGCTAATAAATGTTTCATTAACTCTGTTACTGAATTTTTCCAGGTATTTTTCTTTCTGGATATTAAACTGTATGTATGCACTTGCATATGTGCATACACTTTTGTGGAAAGAAAACAAGTGCATAGGTCATTAGTGAAGATTGAACACTCAAGAGTTAATTGAATTAAGCATTTTTCCATAACTATAGGAGGGGATGATTCCAGCATCATGCATTTGTGGGCCTATCCCGTATGCGTGCTTAGAGATTAGTTTATTTCAGTATCATATCTTAAATACTGATTTGAGCATCAATTTTTTTATTAAAAACAAACACTGTATTTGTAATCAGAGCATTATTTATCTTTTTATTACAAATAATTATATTTTGGGGGGGATAGAACTAATTTTCTAACAGAATTCAGCCATGATTTTTAGCCATGTTAATTGAACAAGCTTGTTGATCTTTTGTAGGTTGAAAAAGCTGGTTGGACATTGGATCAAGTGGATCTGTATGAAATTAATGAAGCTTTTGCTGCCGTAGGTGTAGCAATAACAAAAGAACTAAAATTGAAACCAGAAAAGGTATGTTCAACATTGCCATAAAAGCACAATTACTGCAAATCTGTTTATAGCCTGGAATGCATATTCTGCTCCAGATGAATAGGGCACGGAAATATATTTTGTTTGATGCAAACCTGAAATATTTGCTAGATGGGATGGGAAGGGTAACTGATTCAAAGTAGTTTGTCATCTGAAATACTTTGCAGGATATCAATTTGAGGAAAATTGACAAACTATATAGATGGGGAATTCCAGTGCAAATTAGTACTTCAGTGATTAAGAGCTTATCTTTCTCTCTGCAGTGATCCATAATCTCTCTAAATCTTATGTTCACTTTTTAAAAAAAATGTTTTTTAAATGCAGACATATTGAACATAAGATATAACTTGGCACTCAGTGATGCTAGTATTCAAATAAAATTTCATTTTCCTTTGGAAACAAAACTTACGTTGAGTTGTGCATTTCTAGTAGCTGTCCACAAGGAATATATTTAGGCGTTGTAGTCCAAAAAGGACATCAAAAAATTAAAGGAAGTTCAGAGAACACAAGTTCTACGTGGAACGATTGAAGGAATTGGATATATTTAGGCTGTAGAAGACTGAAGGGATGTATGGAAAGAATCTTTAAAGGACTGTCTTGGTTCTCCATTTCCCCAAGGGCTGGGATCAGAATCAGTGAGTTGTAAGCCCAGGTTAATATTCGGGCTGGATATCAAGAGTGATTTTTCTGACAGTAAAATCTATTAACCAGCAAGTTTATTTCATGAAATAGTATTCATCTTTCTCTGGAGGTTCTCTGGTGGTCCATTTACTTCAAGTGCATTAGCAGATTCTGCAACTGAACAGTATTATTGCACTGCAGGAATATATATTCTGATCATTTTGGGCCCCTCATCATTCAGACATGACTGATTAACCTAGAACTGCGAGAAGTTATGATCACCATTTTATGCTAGCTCCAGTACTTCGTAGGGGAGCAGTAAAGTTGGAGGTCCAAGCAGAATGTTCCTTCCATAGATTTGGTGGCTGGGGATAAAAACTGAATAGCCAAACAGCAGGTGCTTGCTTAAAAAATGCTAAGAAAATTTAAAGGCATGTTTGAAGTAGAATCAGGCAAGTGTGTTGTGTAAGTAATGGCTCAATCAGAGACACACTTTCGTCTAATCTCAATGTGAAAATGAATCTTGCCCACTTCACTATAAAATCTATTGTCAGAGGTTTCCAATTCTTGGTCTAAACATTAGGTTCGAAAATAGGAAAGGAAGATTTCTACATTTGATTTAACAAATACTTCTGATGTATTATTTGTTTGTTTTATTTATTTTGACAGATTAACATTGAAGGTGGGGCTGTTGCTCTTGGCCACCCTCTTGGAGCATCTGGGTGTCGAATCCTTGTTACACTTCTGCACTCACTAGAACGAACAGGTGGAAAACGAGGAGTTGCGGCTTTATGTATAGGAGGAGGAATGGGCATAGCTATGTGTGTAGAAAGATAAAGGAAACTTTTCTTTGATTTTGTACTAATTTGTAACATGACTCACCTTTATTAGTAAGTAATAAAGAAACAATATTAGGCAATACTGTACCTATTTCTTGATACTAGGCAAGATCCAAGCATCCTACTGTCAGTTTAAATAGAACTTTCTGCGGCTAACTACTTGGACTCTTTCTTGCCTCAGATTTCTCATGAAGACAAGGGATCCACTGAATCTTTTAAAAGCAGAAGGCAGCCAATAAATACCATTCGCACCCAGCCTAATATTAACACCTGCAGATAACTTCATCCTGCCTTTGAGAAAAACAGCCATTACAACTTTCCCCCCCTTCTGCAATACCAGCATAAAGCTACGATCAGTTTGTATGTACACAAGGGAGGGTTTTTGTATTCTGCTTCATTATTCTCTGTAGCAAAATACTTAACAAGAAACGCACCAAAAGCTAAGTGTGTGGCTGTAATTTGACTTTGTTAGTGGTAGCTTATTGCTGAAGCCTTCAAGTTTTCTCCAACCGCCTCCCCTTTACATTCTGCGTTATAATACTGATGCAAATACAAAATATGGCCATATTTCATTTATTTTCTAGTTATGCAGAAGTCTTGACAGCTTGCTTTCATCAACAAACTAGTTACTACAGACTTGAGAGCATTTCACAGGAATAGGCAAATAAAAATTCATTTAGTTTTCAATGGCTCCAGATTGAACTGCATCTTCATAGCAGCCTCCTTTGTCACCTTTACTTTCAGGGTGCAACTTAATAAGATCATCAATTCGAAGAATAGTAATTGCTGCTTCCGTTGCAAACTTTAAGCTCTTTATTTTGACTATAGTAGGCTCATATACACCGGCTTGTTTGTTGTCACGTGGTTTCCCATTGATTAAATCAAGACCGATCCTTCAAAAAAGAAGAAAGAAATACTCTTTTAAATAGGAATGTACATTTCAAATGTCTTTGGTATTCTCAAACCCTAAACCTGAAGCAAGAAATCAACTTTCCAACATCAAATGCAACAGAAGTCAAATAGTACCTAGTAGTTCCCTCTGCAAAACCCAACTATTTTATCATATATTTATTTTTATTGCTTAAATTTATATGCTGCCCATCTCACTGATAAAGCAATTCTGGGAGGCTTACAAAATGGTAAAAAAAAATTAAATATAAAAACAGTTAAAATTAAAAAGATTTAAACCAAGGGGATGGACAACATGGGGGTGAAGTCTTTTACACTGTAAACCACTTCCAGTGAAGAGCAGCCCCATTGGGGCCCCAAGTCATCTGGCAAAACCATGCTTTTAGGCAATTCCGGAAAGCCAGAAAGGTGGAAGCAGATCTTACCTCAGGTACCAGAATGTTCGACAGTAGGAGCTGTAATATATACTAAGAATACGTAAAATCTAGAATTTTTTTTAAACAAAATGTATTTGTAATAACTGGCAATTTCTGGTCAGGTCATGCCAATTCTGCTAAGGTTTTATCTGTTTTTCGTGAGTTATTCCTACAAAATTGAAAACTTTGTGAAGTCCCAAGGGAAAGTTTGTTCCACAACATAAGAAACCAGAAGTTATCCAGTTTGGGGGATAACTTCTGGGAAATTGCCAGCCCATGCACTGAATTAGACAAATGTTATCCAGAAAGAAACTAGAACATTCTGGAATGATCAAGAACACTCCGCATCTGAAAATCTAGGTTTTGCATACCCAAAATATATATAACACTCCCATTTTTTCTAATAAAGTGATAAGTCACCTATACAGGGCCACTTAATTTAAACACATTCTGTATGCAAGCATCTTAAAACTAGGCATCATTTTGGCTTAGGATGCTGAATGTTAATGCCCAATTCTGACTCATTCAACAAGATTAAGCAAAAATGCATAAAGCAAATCAATATTCTGACATTGCCATCAATTCTGTGCACACTTACCACTTCAAATTTTTGCGATCTGGATTTACTTGAGCTTCATTGTGAAATGCTCTGAGCTTTGCAACAAGGTCTATAGCATCTTGAGCAGCATTAACTGCTAATGTATTTGGAATAACTAGAAGAGATCTTGCAAATTCTGCTATAGCAAGCTGCTCCCGTGATCCCTAATTGAAACAAGAAAAAAACTATTAATATATAATAAAATAACGGAGAGCGACAATGAAGCTACACTTGTTGGATGTGCTAAAATGAAGACTGGATAGCCACCAAGGATAAAGCTTTAATATGATCTGCAGCAAGCAGGAAATAGGACTTGTTAAATAGCTCCGCCAGTCCTTTTCATATACAGATAGCACTGAATGTTAATATAAGTCTGATTTCCTAAGAAAAACATAATTTAAACTTTAGTTAACTAAACACTTACCATGCTAGTTGCATAATTTTCTAGATAAATAGAAAGTGCTGCTTCAACTGCACCACCTCCCGGTACAACCGACTTTGACTCTAGTATTCTTTTGACCACACAAAGAGCATCATGCAAAGACCTCTCCATTTCATCACACATGAAGTCATTTGCTCCTCGTAATATAATGGCAGCTGAAGTCCGTGCCTTAGTACTGTTTCAGAAAGAGAGAGAATTTTTTTTCCTTGTGAAATAATTATCAAACTATAAATCTCTAACCCTGAGGGTAGGGAAATGCTAGAATTCTGTGTGTCCAAGTTCATCAACAAAGTCAAGACATTTACTGTCTCAACATTTATAGGGGGACTTAAAGTAATTTATCCCACGCGTATAACTGCTCATACAATTTGAAAATAGCATGGCAGCAATTAAATGGGAAATACTTTCAAAGGTTACAACAAAATGCATCCATCACAAATTATATAAGGTAGGCATTTTCTTACTTTTTAATTAAAATCAATTCATCATCACAAATTCGTTCTTGAACCACCTCTTCTGCTTGTCCCAGCATTGATGCTTCAAAAGTTTCTTCACCTTCCAGATTTGCCAGATTAGAACAAGCAGTGGCTAATACAAAGTAAAAAGATTTGATAAATCATCACAATTTTATATATCTATATCTACTCGTCAGANATATATATATATATATATATATATATATATATATATATATATATATATATATATAAACAGTTAAAATTAAAAAGATTTAAACCAAGGGGATGGACAACATGGGGGTGAAGTCTTTTACACTGTAAACCACCTCCAGTGAAGAGCAGCCCCATTGGGACCCCAAGTCATCTGGCAAAACCATGTTTTTAGGCAATTCCGGAAAGCCAGAAAGGTGGAAGCAGATCTTACCTCAGGTACCAGAATGTTCGACAGTAGGAGCTGTAATATATACTAAGAATACGTAAAATCTAGCATTTTTTTAAACAAAATATATTTGTAATAACAATGGCAATTTCTGGTCAGGTCATGCCAATTCTGCTAAGGTTTTATCTGTTTTTCATGAGTTATTCCTACAAAATTGAAAACTTTGTGAAGTCCCAAGGGAAAGTTTGTTCCACAACATAAGAAACCAGAAGTTATCCAGTTTGGGGGATAACTTCTGGGAAACTGCCAGCCCGTGCACTGAATTAGACAAATGTTATCCAGAAAGAAACTAGAACATTCTGGAATGATCAAGAACACTCCGCATCTGAAAATCTAGGTTTTGCACACCCAAAATATATACAACACTCCCATTTTTTCTAATAAAGTGATAAGTCACCTATACAGGGCCACTTAATTTAAACACATTCTGAATGCAAGCATCTTAAAACTAGGCATCATTTTGGCTTAGGATGCTGAATGTTAATGCCCAGTTCTGATTCATTCAACAAGATTAAGCAAAAATGCATAAAGCAAACCAATATTCTGACATTGCCATCAATTCTGTGCACACTTACCACTTCAAATTTTTGCGATCTGGATTCACTTGAGCTTCATTGTGAAATGCTCTGAGCTTTGCAACAAGGTCTATAGCATCTTGAGCAGCATTAACTGCTAATGTATTTGGAATAACTAGAAGAGATCTTGCAAATTCTGCTATAGCAAGCTGCTCCCGTGATCCCTAATTGAAACAAGAAAAAATCTATTAATATTGATGTTAATATATGATAAAACAATGGAGAGCGACAATGAAGCTACACTTGCTGGATGTGCTAAAATGAAGACTGGATAGCCACCAAGGATAAAGCTTTAATATGATCTGCACCAAGCAGGAAATAGGACTTGTTAAATAGCTCCCGCCAGTCCTTTTCATATACAGATAGCACTGAATGTTAATATAAGTCTGATTTCCTAAGAAAAACATAATTTAAACTTTAGTTAACTAAACACTTACCATGCTAGTTGCATAATTTTCTAGATAAATAGAAAGTGCTGCTTCAACTGCACCACCTCCCGGTACAACCGACTTTGACTCTAGTATTCTTTTGACCACACAAAGAGCATCATGCAAAGACCTCTCCATTTCATCACACATGAAGTCATTTGCTCCTCGTAATATAATGGCAGCTGAAGTCCGTGCCTTAGTACTGTTTCAGAAAGAGAGAGATTTTTTTTTCCTTGTGAAATAATGATCAAACTATAAATCTCTAACCCTGAGGGTAGGGAAATGCTAGAATTCTGTGTGTCCAAGTTCATCAACAAAGTCAAGACATTTACTGTCTCAACATTTATAGGGGGACTTAAAGTAATTTATCCCACGCGTATAACTGCTCATACAATTTGAAAATAGCATGGCAGCAATTAAATGGGAAATACTTTCAAAGGTTACAACAAAATGCATCCATCACAAATTATATAAGGTAGGTATTTTCTTACTTTTTAATTAAAATCAATTCATCATCACAAATTCGTTCTTGAACCACCTCTTCTGCTTGTCCCAGCATTGATGCTTCAAAAGTTTCTTCACCTTCCAGATTTGCCAGATTAGAACAAGCAGTGGCTAATACAAAGTAAAAAGATTTGATAAATCATCACAATTTTATATATCTATATCTACTCGTCAGAAGGAATATTAACAATAGCAATCATCTACATAATTAAGCTCTGTATTGACAAGACAAACGTGATTATATTTACAGATGTCTGTAATTACCTCCAGAAGCCTTAGCAATGCGTTTAAGGTCTCTTTTCAGAACTC